CAGGTGCTGAAGTGTTATTGGCTCCTGTCGTTGGGATTTGACGTGATTCAAAACTCGTGAACGCGGAATTGTGGGCATTAGACGTTGTAACTACAATAAGAATTATTTCATAACAAAAGAGTTATGAAAAAGTTAACATCATTAAAGCTTTAATTAAAGGGGAGGAGAAGAACAGGAATGAATATTCACCTTCCATGTTGTGCATATCGATCTGAGTATGTTGTCCTAGAATTGAAATATTTTGATCATGAGATACAACCTCCTCGGATTAAGAAAGACACGTTCAAAAGATCTGATGTATTACCTGTTTCTGAGATACTCGGTACCATATACGGATGAGGATGTTGGGGGTGAAACGATTGTGTCGGTCCATTTGGGGCGCCTGCCATCATTAATAATGCTTCATTTCTCATTGGTCCCGCTGTTACCGGTGGAAAACCTGTGAAGGGTGGGTATTGTCCGTAACCAGGGAAGGGACCCCCATTGAATTCTTGCGCCATCACTGGACCTCCATTAGGGTTTGACGGGTGAGCAAATCCCATATGACGATCATTTGGGAATGCTGGATTCATTGCCATCGGGTTGTAACGATCATGATTATCCGCATAATGACCAGGACTCCTTCCTCGTACCACCAAGGGGGCCGAGGTTGATGTGGCAACTCTGAAATGTGATTCATACCCTTCGACTTGGGCATAAAGGTCTACCATAACCACGTAATATTGTTGAGCGGCACGACGCTTTCCATTATTTGCGGTCGCAGTTTTGAATTGGATACGTTCAAATGTGACGATGTTAGAATTGGATCCTACGGAACTTAGATTTAAGTTTCCACCGGGACGAATCGCTTTTGGTACAGGAACCATTTGAGGTCCTTTATCACGTTTCGGCGTATGTTGTACTAATTCAATTTTCTTATCGCTATTAGAAACTCTTGCTGTAATTCCTAATAAGAATTGGGAGATAGGATGGAATTGACCATCGGCCTCGAGTAAACACGTTACTTCTGTTTCATTTACAGGGTGAGTTGTTCCTTGGATATTAAACGAACTGCTGATTTGGAAATAATTTCTTCGGTAGCATGTCCAATCATTATCGGCCAAGAAAAAGCCACGATCAACCTTTGAATTAATTCGAAGTTTAAGGCTATTGTGTAACATTATGTAATATTCACATGGGAGATGCAGAAAGTTAATAAAAGAAGCTTATCGAATAACCTTTGTTTTAATTCATGAAAGCAGGTACAACGAAAATGTTACACGAAAACCCACCTATTCGTCCTGTCCACGGTATATACATTATAATGCTGTTGTGTCTGGGAAAAGAAAGGGCCAGCATCCACGGGAAAACCTAACGCGTCGGCCCTACGTTTCCTTACTGCTCCTGGTTGGAATGGAGCGGCATGAAATGAAGAAGTAAAAGTAGGTCGATTATCGATAACTTTGCGATCAGCGGATTGTGGTGTAGTAGATGATGGGTTATTATTTGGGGATCCATTCTGTCGCGGAGTTGAAGGCGTCGCGGGTGTAGACATTGAAACAAAACTATAATCATATGATAGGTGAGGAATAAAAGAGTTAACCTTTGAATTTTATTTTATTTTTTTTTTTTTTGTTTTTTGAACAAAAAGTAATTAATTTTTTAACAATGAAACATGATAAAAAAGGTTAGAAAATTGAGGCGGTGCACATGGTGTCTCGAGCACATTTTACAGCAGAGGTTCGATGGACTCTTTTCAGCCACACACATGTACGAGCATTGCTCATGGCCACACGTTTACAGTATTTTTTTTTTTTTTTTACGCGCACACAAGAGCATAGGACATCCAACCCTTTAAATAAATATCGCAATGAACCCATTGATGCCACGTTCTTGATACAAGATACCATCCAAGTCTTTTTAAATCTAATCTGATGACTACCTTTGGAACTGAGTGTATCGGTTCTGTGCCTCATTAATTTCTTGTTTTTGAGGTATAAACATATTTTGTTGATTTATACCATCATAAACCGGCCTGGGAAAAAAAGGATACATGGGTTTATAGACTATATATGTGTGTAATATATGTATGTACGTTGATGGTTTCTCACACATATATTTTGCCGCCAAAAAAAAAATTTTATAAAAATAAATTTTTTCCTGGAAAGGAAGTAAAGAGGAAGAAGGTGGGAGAACGACAAGAAGTTCAAAGAAATCTTGTAAAAGTTATGTGTAAGGTGACACGCGGCGGCAGGAAACATGAACTTGCATACAACCCAAAATCAGTTTTTGTATACTTTGTACAAAATAAAACGCGGTTCTTATGCTATGCTCGTGTGGTATCAAATAACTGTAAAACGTACGCGGCACGAGCGTAAAAAAAAATAACAATAATGAAAAAGATAACGGGTGCTCGGTTTTTTTTTACTCACATTTGTTGAGGGTGCATTTGACCTTGTGCCGTTTGACCGTCGTACTGGAAGGGCTGCATAAAGTTTTCCGTTGGCATACCGTTCATTTGTGGGGACATTGCGGGATGTGGATGGTGTGGAGAAGGTGGAACTGGAGATTGTTGTTGTATAGACCACTTTTCCTCTGAAAGGTTCATAGTATATTCAAGAACGTGTGGACGTTAAGAAAAATTTTTCAAAAAGTTACAATTTTAAGAGATGAACCAAAGTTTCCCCAGAGCTTTTTTTTTTTTATTTTTTTTTTTTTTTTAAAAAAAAAAAAAATGGAGGTGTACGTGGGTGATTTTTTTTGTTATTAAAAAGTGGTGGTAATAATAATAATAAGGGTCGAAAGAAAGCAAGCCGAAGAAACGTGTCAGGATGAGGGGAAAAAAAAAGGCGAAGAATAAAGAATAAATCTCGAGGTCAGTCAAAAAATTTTAGCAAATAAAAAAAAGAAGATAAATTCTGGTTAAGAAATTCGAATTAATTATGAAGGATAAAGGGGAAAAAATTAATCAAAATGAAATAAATTAAGGGAAAATTATGAATTAATGGGATAAAAGAAATTAAGTAAGGTAGCATTAATCAAACCTTTCGAGAATGAAGAAGAAGAAAATGTGGGAGGGTTTTTTTTGTCGGATATATCTTTGTTTTCTTTTTCAGTTACTTACTCCACGACACTTAACAAGCTATTAGGAAAAGTAGGATAGTTTGTACCTGGATCCCTTGGAGAGCAGAAAAAAAAAAAAGTGGTCCAATGTTACTCACCTTTTGTAGGCGCACAAGTTGACCTTTTTTGCTCAAGAACTCTGGAGAGGTTTTTGACGAAAAAAAAAGTCCCGAGCGTAATCTCACACTATATATTTGTTATTGTAAAGGAAAATTAGAGTAACCAATGATTTGACAGGCCGGCATTTTATTGAAAATTTTGGGGGGAGCTTAAAAGGTTGATATGAATGATTGGTCAACGCATGAATCCCCTAATTCTTTAATCAAGTTCCAAACAGGATTTGTATTGGTGCACAAAGAATATCAAAAAAAAAAAATCTACTCTATTATAAAAATGAACTGATGTAAAATAAATACTTTCTTTTGATTTAATTAAAAACGGTAGAAAATTTAAAGACAGTACGACATAAATTTTTTGTGATAGACACCATGATTATTATTGCATATTTATTTTTAAAATGAAAATATGTTGAAATCAAAAAAAAATTAAAATAAAAATTTTAATATAAATAATAATTAAATATTCATCAATTGAAATTTTATTCATTGAGAATATAGAAGGTATCACCAAGGCTGTAGCACGTTCATTTAATTTCTACCGTGATACGGATGAATAACAAAACATTCGATGCGAGCACAAAACCGAACCCCAAAAACGGTGATGAATCATCTCTAACGGTTAAGCAATCGGTATCGTAAATGGAGGCCCTTGTAGGGAAGCACAATATAAAGAGAATGCCCTTATGTTTTTGTTTCTCATTCCTATATTCCAAATAAGGTAGGACGCAGGTTGGGTCGTGTGCTCATTTTTTTTAAAAAAGTATTTGCCCAATCTTCTTTTTTTAAAAAATATTCGCACAATACCGTTTGAGTTTAAAATAGTATTTTTTTTCATTCTTTTTTTAATAAAAAATAATTAGTTTATCCTGGATTTTTTTTTTTTTTTTTTTTTTTTCATAAAAAAAAATTATGCCGCTAACCCACATCAGTCAAATCAGTGCTTCCCATATCAATCTAACCCCCCAGAATTCTTTATCTTTTTTCCTTTTTTTTTTTTTTTTTTTTTTTTTTTTTTTGAGAATTTTGCTCGCATTCATTCCAAATCCGAAAAAAAAAAAAAAATTATTTGAAACATTTCCAGTTTCAAAAAAAAAAAAAAAAAGGGAATAATCATTTTTTAAGAAAATTCATAACACATACAAAAAGATGGAGGAAATTCTGACACACAGCCCACTTTTTGGGCTGTAGAAGAAATGTTTCAATGTAGCAATAGATAAACGGGCAGAATAGTTTTGTTGTGCAAGGTAGTGTCTCCGAGAATCAAGATTAACAGATACCTTTTGCATGATAATGCTTTTAGATTATTTGATAGGAACCTGCATTAGGAAATCATCGGTCAGCCATGCGGTATGTATGTTACATTTATAGTTAAGTTCTTGTTCATGACTTTTAGACGACTACCTTGTGCAGCGCCGTGTGGGCGCACTGCGTACATAATTTGATAATGTAATCTTCATTTTACTTTACCTTATTATACTACAAAAGATTATCAATTTAAAACGATTTCCTCGATACGCGCGTAACAACTGATGATCATGCAAAACCCGTCTTTTTCAGGTTTTCCCTGCCTGATTTAGAACTCCTCCTAAACCTAATCAAAGCTTTTATCATTTTGCGGAATCTAAATTCCCATAATTACGGCTTTCTCTGATTTTGGTCTATTGTTTATCATGTGTACTCAAAAAATACTCTTGATCATTTTTGGGTTTATGTGCTCGTGCATTTTAATGCACTTTAAGACGAAAAAAAAAAATATGAGAAAAAAATAATGAAAAAAAACGAGGGAGAGTACAATCTTTATTTTATTTTTTTTTTTATTTTTTTTTTTTTTCACCGGAAAAAAAAATGATCGATTAAAATAAATTGAATTTTCCAAAAAATAATTGATCATCTGTGTGAATTGCTGTTGTAAGAATATGTTGAATTTTTGTTGGTGTGTAATCTCTACCACGCTTTTTTAATTAATTTCTTTTTTACCACCGTACATCTGGTCATCCAAAGGAACATCCTCTTAAACACCAGCTTAAAACCCTGTTGAGCCCTTTCATTCAAAAAGAACAAAATTAACCATGTTTTTCTTTTGTACGCTGTTACAATGATTTAATAACTTGAACGATTTTTTTTTTTTTTTTTTTAATTTAAATCTCAAAAGCCCAACACAAGATCGGTTTCTGTAACCTAACATCTTTTTTGGACAATGGTTCATTTTTGATTTTGGTCCTCAAGTTGTTTTTGTCTACAATCGAAATTTTTAATATTACTATGATGGAAAAAAAAAAAAGATGTAATTTTTTTGCCGGAGAAAGATGATTATAAAACAAGAAATCGGTTGGCTTAGTTTTTTTTAATAACTGATTTGGTCATGATTGGCTTTTTTTGTTAAAAGCATCCGACCTTTATAACTAATAAGAGAAAAAGAAATTCCGAAATTTTTTTTTTGGTGAGTAATGATTGTTATGATAGATCTTCCCCAAAAATATCGAATTAATAGAAAACTAAAATAGATACAGTAAGTCCATCAACAAGTTGCGATCGAATTAAAACTAATTAAAAAAAAAAAAAATGCATCATATGATATAATTAAATTATGTTGTGTTTTACATAAGTTTTCCTTTTTTTTTTTTTTTTTATTTATTATTTATAATAATGTAATGTAATAATATAATAATGTAATAAAAATAATAATTTAAGCTTATTATGAAGATCTATTAATATATATATATATTTTTTATACAAATTAATAATTCTTGCATTGTGTTTTTAATAAATATTACATATATTTTAATTAAAAAAATAATAAATTGCATAATTATAATTTTGAATAAATACTTTTTTGGTTATAATAGTTAATTCTATCATTTATACTTTAAAGTAAATTTATATTTTTAAATTATTTTAATTAAAAATATTCTATTATAAGATCAGATAAAATCAATTAGATAAAGAAGGAAATTACTTGAATGATATATTTATCATTATTTAAAAAAAATAAGATAAAATGAAATGAATGGTTAAAAAGAAAAATATCAAAAAATTAAACATGAAAAATGAAAAATTTAAATTTAACTTTTCCAAACTTATTCCTTTAAATTATTTTGCCTACAAATTTGTAACCAATATTATTTATAAATTAAAATTATTTTTAATTATTTTAAAATATTTTTAAAATATGTTATTAAAAAGTTTAATACTTTTTATAATAAATTTTATGATGTTTTCTAAGTAAAAATTAAAAAAAAATTGTAATTAACTAGTAATTTTTTAAAGATAAATAAATGATAAAATATTATTAAAAAAAATTAAAATTTTAAATTTATATATCTTGCTATCTATTAATCTTAAAAATTTAAAAATATTATCATTTAATAGGTCTCAATGAGATGAATCCAATAAATTGAATTTATTTTTAAATAATTATTACGTAATATATTATTTTTAAAAATTGAAAAATTGAAATATTTTAATAATTATTAATTTTAAAAAATTTAAAAATATTATTATTAAATGTATTTTAATATAACAAATATAATAAACTTTATTTTATTTTTTTATTTATAAATATTTTATTTTTTTCAAAAACATTTAAGTTATAATTTTTATTTGTAATAAAAAAACTTAACTTTATACTAAATAATTAATCTTTTTAAAATTTATTATCTATCAACTTGCATTTTATTATAATCTTTTTTTTATTATTATTTTTAATAATTGAATTATAATTAAAAATTAAATAATAAAAAAAATTATAAATTTAAAATAAAAATTATTAAAATTCTTTAATTTTAATAAAATTAAATTTTAGACTTATTATATAAGTTTATCATTTTATAATTAAAATAGATTTTATTTAAAATTAAATATTTTTATAAAAATATTTTAAAACTTTAAATATTTATATTAAAACCTATTATAGTTCTTATAATTTATATATAAATTAAAAGTTAAAATATATTAATTTAAATTATTATTTTAATACTATCTGATTTTAAGTATTTTTTTAAATTTATATAAATAAATACTAGTGTAATACCATCATATAATATAATTATATTATATAGTAGTATTCTATTTACACTAGATTATATTATTACTATATAATCTGAATGCCACTATATAATCTAATTATCATTATATAATTTGAGTATCACTATATAATCTAATTATTACTATATAATTTAATTACCATCATATAATCTGAATACAATTATATAATTTAATTATCATCATATAATTTAAGTACTACTATATAATCTAATTACTACCATATAATCTAAATAATATAATCTAATTATCATTATATAATTTATATATTTTCACATATTAGATATCTATTTTATACTCTAATTATCTTTTAAACCTTTTCTACTATTTGTATTTTTTATCACTATATAATTTATCTATCACTCACCATTTTAATTTAATTACCACCATAAAATCTAAATACTATACTTTTTTTTATTTTTGAGTTCTTTACATGTTAAATTCTATAATGAAGTTGCTGATCTTTTATAGCTGTTTAGATACCTGATTTTATATTAAAAGTATTGACTTCCTTTATTTGATTGGATACTAGATTCTATATTGAAGTACTTACTCTTTAAACCTATTTGGTTACCTTTTTAAATATCAAAATGTGATAAAAAAATATCATATCAAGTGATATAATAAATTTGTGTTTAATTTCAGTTGACATTATGCTATAATTCTAGCTAATCTTTTGGAAATACAATTTGAGAATTCAGCTTGCCAATATGATGATACTATGATGGTGTTATAGAACTGTTATAATACTGTTGAGAAATTGGCATAGAACTAGAGTAGTTTTATTAGTTTGCCAATTTTAGATCACCTTTATGCTAATGTTATTATGTTCAAAGATCTAGCTGAATTTATAGAATAGTATTAACTAAAATCATCATAATTTACTGCATTTACTGCATCAGTTATGTGACTTTTACTGACTTTGCAAGTCGAAGAATTTAAAATGCAAATGTAAAATATCACTAATATATAATTAATATACTAATTTTGTAATAAATAAATTAAAGACATATTAGTGACATATTATAAGCTCTTCTGAGACTTGATCATAGTTAGGATATTTATTATCATGAAATCTCCTATCACTATGAAAAATTTGTTAGTAGCTCTCTTAGTGATACTCTTAAATATTTTTTTCAAAGTTTGGAAACGTTTGACTATCTTTCTTTATATCTGTCACTATATCACTAAGAGTTATTAAGAAAAAGTAAAGTTTTAGGAAAAAATCAAAATTTTTCTATGCTATCCCTATGGTTTATATATAATATAGTATGATAAATATATAGCATATACATGATACATATATGCTAAAAAAATAATAAAGTTAAGAAATTCAGATTTTTTCTTAATAATATAATGATACTCATTTGAAAATTTTTTGATGGCTTTAAAAATACGAATAGCTATAAATTTTGTTAACAAAAGTGTTATCAAGAGTGTTACCAAGAAATTTTGGTGAAACCTATTGCCTAAAGCCATAAGGATAGTGAAAACTTTTTATTTTAAATCACTTATTTAAGATCTTTTAATTAGCCTAAAAATATTTAAGCAAGATCTCTTTGAGACCATCAGCCATCTTAACCTGCTTTTTCCAATGGTAATGTTCCTTTGATCTATATTTTTTTATATGCACATTATAATAGTTATATTTAGATTTTGTTGGCTCATTATATTCTTTATAAGGAACTTGCCTAGAATTCTAATAGACTTTACATCCCTTTGGATAATAGCATCTCTAATTATATACTTCTTCAGTCTTAAAAAATATAAACAATTATAAAAATGTCAGGGTATTACCTTTTTTTTGTCTCCCATTTGTATATATCAATTAATAATGTCAGAAAATTAATTTTATTTTAACTTTTTTCTTGCAAATAATATACCTTGAGTTTTGATATAGTTATTAATTTTTTAAAAAAAAATCTAATCTGAGCTTTCAGATTTCTCTAACGCCTCTGCCCTTTTACTCAAACTATTATAGGTTTAAAACCTCTGATATAGGTTAATATTTATATAAAATTCGCGATAATAGTATTAGACTAAGACAATTTCTTGATGCAAATAATAAAGATGAAATAGAAGCTATACTCTCAGATCTTGAAGAATATTTCTTATATAAAATTATTAATGATAATGAACTATTTTATTATTTCATAGATTTTGATTTATCAGAAAAAATATTAAATGCTATCTCTTCTAAAATTTCGCGTAAAGAAGCCTATGTATTCATTCAAGCTGCCTTTAA